AGAGAATTTTAGTTATCTGATCACGCTTAGCAGGTCCTTACTGGATTCTCAAAAATGCTAAGACGATTATATTTTCCCAAAGATCTTGTCACTTCAAGGTCATACACCAGTTGAAAAAATTGTTGGCTTCTCTCATTTTCTTTGTCTTAAGATTATATAGTAGGCGAAGTGAGCATTTATCAACTCTCTGCTGTTAGCATCTGGAAAGTTCTAGATGTACTAAGAAATTTATGTGTATGGCTTTTTCCCCTCTTTAAGGACTGAACTGAAAAATATCCTTTGTTAGCTTTAGAAAGTCTTGTCTATCAGTTAACATGGTTTATGCGTTGGGAAAATAAATCAGAGTTTCTACTTCAATAGATTATTTCTATAGAAAGGTCACATTTTTACATAGCCTTTATATTATGTACTAAATATGGAATTTATATTGAAACTAAAGTAAGGAATGTAAAACAATAATGTATTTGTTTTTGTGGTTAACAATTTTTAATAATTACAGTTTATGACAGATTTTTAGAAATAATTCTTTAAATATAATTTTAATAATTTTAGTTAACTGTAGCTTAAGCAAACTTTCAGAAATGCTGATTTTGAAAGCTCCTAATTTAGTACCAAAGATCGTTTGTTTTCTGCTGAAGGTAAGTTTGTTTTGAATGTGACAATCTAGTAACAAGAATTTGTTATTGTCTTAATTCTGGAATCAGAATTTTTCACATATTTATCTCCATATACAATAAATCTATACAAAAAGTATGCATTGAATGAGATTACATTTTCATTTTCTTAATGTTAAATAGTAGATAAAACTATTTCTTTTACATTTTTAATGAAACTTACGCTCTAGCCTGTCTTGCTCATTTCTTTAATAGTAATTAACCCCTTTAATAGGTGCTCATTAAAAATATCTTAAATTGACAGAAGAAAGCAAAGAAATAAGGAAGTTAGGAAATGAAGAACAAAGATCAAGTCCTACCTTCGGTCTAGCTGAAATACCTTCTGCTTTCAATTAAGCCTATTTCCTGCCATTCAGTCTTTTACCGATAAGGGTAATGATACCAGATTTTCCAACTAGAATTCCTCTTTGTACTTGAAGAAAACTAGGATAGTTAGTGGGAAATAAATCTTATTTTACTCTTAATTCCTTTTAGAAGAAACAAAGGAAAAATATATAAATAAAGAAGATAAAACAAAGCTTTAATTGATAAAGACAAAGAGCTATGAGTTACTAGCTTCAAAGAGTACGAAGTCTCACTGCTTAAGAGAGGCTATTTTAAATAGGCAACAGGCTCAAATACTAAGTTTAAAAAAAAAAGAAAGGAAAAATCATTAGATGAGGAAAATGGCTCTAAGGCAAACTTTGACAGAATAAGTAGTAGTGGTGGGGAGCATCTAAGTAGGACCTAAGTTCCAGGCAATACTCCAGTTACCTGGACTGTCAATGACATTCATCCTTACATTCTCCAGTTCTTAGCTAACTAAATTCCACATTTTAGCTTTCCATAATAAATAACTTTGCAAGACCTGGATTCTTTCAAAGGGACATTTGATAAGGTAATGGCATTTATTACAAAAACACATTTACTTAGACTATTCCAGCCCAAGCAATAAGTGGAAATATTCTCTCCCAAACATGTGTTTATTGGTGACTAAGAATTGGGTCCAAGAATAATTATGGATGAAAGAACATGACAAAGTTCAATCATTTAAAGTAGAAATAAAATCATAAATCTGAGCAGTGAAATTTTCTCAATGACAACCAAGATGTACATTCTCCTCTTTGCTTTACTCCATATTTTCATTATTATGACAGAAATATGAACATATTGGAATACTCTTCTAAGGACACATTTGAAAGATTTTACTGTTGGTTTTTCATGTATTGTATTTATTTGGTAAGAAAAAATACCTGTAAAAATAAACATGGAGAAAATAATATTTCAATATTAAAATGTGCAGGAAATTGAAAAATCAAAGTCCCTTTGTCCTTGTATACAGTTGCTGACAATTTCATTTATGAGATCAGGGATGTAATAAAAAGAAGAATTTTATTTCAGGAAAAAGCTCAAGACCTACCTTGTGTGTACCATTTTTTTAAAAAAAATCTTAGATTTGTAGCAACTATTTCTGGGGGTGAGGGCTGAGGGAGGAGTCATAAAATTACATATAGGAGACTTTTTAATATTTGATGATGTTAAATATGATGCCAAAAGGATATGTTCAAAGCTTAAGGAAAAGAATATGAGGCCGGGCGCGGTGGCTCATGCCTGTAATCCCAGCACTTTGGGAGGCCGAGGCAGATGGATCACGAGGTCAGGAGATGCAGACCATCCGGGCTAACATAGTGAAACCCCGTCTCTACTAAAATTATAAAAAATTAGCCGGGCGTGGTGGTGGACGCCAGCTGCTCCGGAGGCTGAGGCAGGAGAATGGCGAGAACCTGGGAGGCGGAGCTTGCAGTGAGCCGAGATCGCGCCACTGCGCTCCAGCTTGGGCAACAGAGCGAGACTCCATCTCAAAACACAAAAAACAAAAAAACAAAAGCAGAAAAGAATATGACAGAGGCAGAATCATAATAGGTTAGTTTTGATAATATTGGGGCAGGTATCATATTGAAAAGATGTCAACATAGGTGGCATGGCTGGGGTCAACGGGTTGTGATTTGATGATAGCAGTAATGGAAGGGTTGGCAATAGGGAGGAAGACAAAAGATTTATCCCAAACTGTCTGGGCGTGGTGGCTCATGTCTCATACCTGTAATCCCAGCACTTTGGGAGGCTGAGGTGGGTGGATTACCTGAGGTCAGGGGTTCCAGACCAGCCTAGTCAACATGATGAAACCCTGTCTCTACTAAAAATACAAAAATTAGCTGGGCATGGTGACGTACACCTGTAGTCCCAGCTACTCGGGAGGCTGAGGCAAGAGAATCACTTGAACCCAGGAGGCAGAAGTTGCAGTGAACTGAGATCACGCCATTGCACTCCAGCCTGGGCAACAGAGTGAGACTTGGTCTCAAAATAATAATAATTATTATCCAAAACCTTCACTCCATACTTTTCCAAGCTCTATTCATTGATGAAGATAACGTCAACCTAATGATTTATTTCATTGGTTTTAAAATTTGAAAGTTATTTCAAGAGTTACAAGATGGTCATTCATGTACTACACTCATTCATGTACACTACTACTTCACTAATTCATGTACTACATTTTCTAATAGGTTTCTATGTGTCACAATCAACTGTGCTAGATGTTTGGGATGAAATGGCAAACATTAACTGTCATTCATTTTCCTGAGGTACAATATAGAGATGAGTTTCTCTCCCTGCTATCTCACAGAGTGGATCTGGAGTTCAAGTAAGATAGTACAACATGTGCAGCAATATGTAATACCTTATAATAATGATAGTAATGTAGTGTTGGGAAAAGAAAATATTAGATTTGAACAATTTTTTCCTTACTAATATGAAAACATGTTTTGTAATAGAATTAAGACAGAAAGTATATTAGAACAATTGAAGGTGGTAGTGATTGTTACTATAGTAAGAGAGAGAAGCAGCAGTAAAACTGTGAGAGTAGAAACACTGAAATAGGAATTTCTCTTACAATTTTGTTTGATGCCAACTCCTTTCCTGCCAGACCCTATAACATTCTTGAGCAATAGCATTTGCCATTGGGTTTTATCTTAGTGTTTCCCAAACTTCAGTCAGTCATGTATCAACTTCACAGTTTTGCCATGTCCACTTATAACTTTTATTAATATGGATCAATTTTTTCTTTAAATCAATTATTTGTTAAATACAGAATATTGTGAATGCATTCTAAAATGCAAGTTTATGTCATTCATTTAAAGAGGAAACCAGCACCACTTGCTGTAATAGAAGTTAGACATAGCCAGATGCCAGGGTGGCTCATGCCTGTAATCCCAGCATTTTGGGAGAGCAAGGTGGGCAGATCACTTGAGGTCAGGAGTTCAAGACCAGCCTGGCCAACATGGTGAAACCCCGTCTTTACTAAAAATAGAAAAATTTAGCAAGGTTTGGTGGTGGGCGCCTGTAATCCCAGCTACTTGGGAGGCTGAGGCAGGAGAATCACTTGAACCCGGGAGGTGGAGGCTGCAGTGAACTGAGACAGCACCATTGCACTCCAGCCTAGGCAAAAAGAATAAAACTATCTCAAAAAAAAAAAAAAAAAAAAAAAAGAAAGGTAGATATGAAACTCATAAAATTAAAACAAAGTAACATTATTTAATTTTAGGTATGTGCCATTGCTTAACCAAGGCTCTGAGACTATGGGTTTTTTTTATTTTTTGGTTTTTTTTTTGCCAAGAAGCGTCATTGGTAAGCGCTGAGGAAGTATTACAGATATGATAGCACCAAACTGAGAATTTCTCTGTGGGGCAATCAGAAGGCTGGAAAAATATTTAAAATGTACAAAAGGATTAACTTTCTTACTCTATGATATGATATTATTTAATGATGTCTCCTATACTAGCTAAAATATCTTGCAATGATTAATATTACATAGTGTAAAACTCTGGTATAGCTGGTCTGAACTGTGTTACTTTTGGTTTAACTACACCTCTTTATTTTTCTTATCTCATTTCAACAAAATGATCAATTAACTTACTACATAATTGCAAAGTAGTTTGTAAGAAGTAATTACTGTATATGCTGAGTTCCCAAACTATTGTTCATCTTACTAAGGGTATCAAGATGCTTATTTAGAAAGTAGAATATCTGGGACTTAAGAGACTAAAAAATGTATTCAGAATCAAGCTTAGCACACTTTCACTATTGGTGTTGGGGGAGAATGCAAACCTCTAAATATGCTAGCAATGTCTTCACAAGAACGCGGGGTAAATTCGTGGACAGAACAAAATGATCTCTATGGACTTGTCTTAACTTTCCTGACCATAAGATCATGCCCCATTCTCATAGATAAGAAACCTTAAGCCCCAAACCAATGAAACATAGCTTAGAGAGTGGCCCCATAGGACTTACCTCCTGTTAACATGAGGGCACATTTGCACATACAGTTGTCATTATCAGCATCTTTAGTGCTGAAATCAGCACCGTGTAAGATCAGGCTGCTCTGTTTTCCTGCTGTCCCAGTGTGACCTTTTAAATACAACCTGAAGTCAAAAAGAAAAAAAAGAAAGATAAGCCATTCGACAGAATAACAGAACCCAGAAGACCAACTTGTTGAATGTTTGCCTTTTCATCATTTTCTTCTTTCTTTGAACTCAGCCCTTCCAACAAACCTCTAGAAGATGCAAACTATCTGAATCAAAAGAACAAAGGAAGGAAAAAGTTTATGTCATTATGCATGCTCAAACTCATATGGTTCTCTGATAATGCAGGATCCAGAAAACATAAAAACCTCGGTTTATTTTTTAATACAGGTATTAACCTGTAAACCCAAATGCTTTTTACAATGTCAATTCAGCATGTCACTCCCTTAATCCATTAATATATAATATTGCAGATGTGCTAAACATTATTCATAGCAATACAAGGAGTAAGTGTCATTGATTGAGGACTTGCTCTGTGCCAGGCACTATGCTAAATAATTTCCAGTGATTATTTGATTAAATTTTTATATTAAATCTGGGATCCCGATATTAACATCCCCAAATTGTATACCAAGGTTTAGGGAAGCTATGTAAGCTGGAATTTAGCTTGTATGAGTCTAAAACTGAAGCTTTGAATCATTATGCATTCCCTGGACAAATGTTTGCTGAGCACAAACTATATATCTGTTATTGATCTAGGCACTTAAGACATATGAGAAAACAAAACAAAAATGCATGCTTTTGAGGGACTTGTATTCTAGAAGTATCCCTAAAATTAAATTCAAAATCCCATCTGTTTAATATGGCATTCTTTGAAGAACCTATCTTACTATTTAGAAACCTTTCTTACATAAAACTTGCGTTAACCTAGATCAGTGGCCCTCTAATGGTTGTGCATATAACAAATCATCTGACCTTTTGTTTAAAAGGCGTGTTTACTAATCCCAGGAATATGTGTTTTCAACTAGCATCTCAGATTTCTCTTTGCAGACTGTCCAAAGAGAGCATTTTGTCAAGTATTGCCCTAGAATCCAAGAACTAGTGGACGAATCACAATAGTTGCCAAATGTAGCGCCCTGTCTGATGTCTGCTCATTTCCTACTGATCGTACATGCTGCTTTCATATCCTTCTGGGCAATGTAGTGCTTAGAACTAACGTAAACTTGCTCAAGTCCTTCAGTGGCTTCACGGGGCTTAGAGTAGCTAAACTGAAGTTGTCGTATTGACAGCTTGATGCCCAAGGTGTTCTCTGGCTTAGACTCTAGCCCCTCTCTCTCTAACTCTACCTAACACTGCTCCTGCATACCAGTACAATGTTTTCATCAGAATCATGTAGTAATATCCCCTTCAAATTCATATAGGTCATCACCTGCATGCCTGGATCTTATTTATGAATACTATCCACCCACAGTATAGTTAATGGGTGATTCATATCTCTGTATGAATGAGACACTCCTAAAACCTAGGCTGGCTCTGAGCAAAACATTACACTACTATGAAATAGAATAATAAAGATCAATTAATATTTGGGGATATATTTCAACTTGTGTTTGCATCTAGGTATATGTATATATCCTGTTGTTTGTGGTATTTGACATTATTGTTAGCAAAAAACAATATTATTGGATGTTTGTGCAATATTTTACAAATATTCTGCAGAGATTTTGAGCCAGAGCAAAGTATACAAGTAAACCTCAGTCAGCTTTTGTTGGTTCCAATAATTAATGGAACTTCTGTTTCACAGTAGTACAAATAATTTTCTAATGTTGAATTATCACACAAAAGCTTGCATTTTAAAACTCTGAGAGGCAGGCTACAAGTCATTAGTGATGCAAAATTGTAGAATTTTTTAAAGTACCAATTCACATTTGAGGCTGCAGCCAGCCCAAGTGGAGGTGGGTTTCACCAGGGAAAGTAAGGTGACAGATCACCAAAGGGAGTTTTGGGACATGTTACCTGGATGAATTCACCACCTTCCAGAGCTGGTGAGAACTTTCAATTTGATCACTCTTTTGGAAGTCCTCGGCCTCCCAAAGACAGACACACATTGGCAAAACTAACAGAGATTTTGTCAGGCCTCCATTTGCAGTCAAAGTAGGAATATGGTGGGGACCCAGTCTCATGGTCTTCTTGGAGAGAATTTCACACAGAAAGCCAAATTATAATCAGAAAGTTCCTTGTTTGGTGAAGACAGAATCAGAATTGAGAGAATAAGTGAATGATTCCAAAATTAAGTAGCTACGTCTCTCCTAGCCTGAAATCTGCTCTACTGGGACTGGGAGAGTTTAGCCCATAAGCGCTCTTGAATGAGCAATGGCAATTTTAACTTTGATTTTTTGTTTCTCTGTGATTTATAATGGCCTTCCTTCTTATGGTAAGTCAATGCCATTTTCTCTGCAGTAGCTTTAAGTTCACTAATAAAGACAGACTTTCTGGGATGCAATGATTTTCTATAGTGTCTTTTGCAGGGAATTCAGCATAAATGTTTGATTCTAAATAACAGACTGATTGCTATGTGCTTGAATACATCGTTTATACTTTTATCTTTTCACATAAGAGTTACAATCTAAGTCTCATAATTTATAATTATTTGTGTAATCAAGGCAATACAAATGCACAATTATAAATTTGAGAAGAAAAGCAAAAAGAAGAAATGAAAATCAACTCAAATCTCATCTTTGAGTTTAACTACTCTTGTCATATTACAGATTTGTAGTATTTTCCTTGTTTCTCCCCACTAAATATAAAATATTATTTATTTTTAAATATACATGTATCTAAACACATTCTTATAACATTTTGAACACTATAAGTAAAGCTTCTGCTCACAGCCCCATTTCATCTCTCTCTTTAGAGGTATCCTTCAAGAACAATCTCTCCCCACGTGAAAATACAAATAGAAATAGAATTATACTTTACATGCTTCTATATGAGATGATTTTCAAATATAATTTTATGACCACTTTTACATGCCATTACATTTTTTTCTCTAACAGCATTGGGAAGCTATTGTATGAATATATCATCAGTTGTCACAAGATTAAGGCTGCCTTCAGGTGTCTCTCTATATGTGTGCTGGTATAGGTATTAGGATTACAATAAAATCCACATTTCTTTCTTGACCTTTCCCCGTATGAATGTCATCAATTCTATGTTAGGCTCCATGAGTAAAGAGACGTCTTTCCAGATCTATTTAAGACTTGGAGGTCAGTTTCTAGTCTTGGCAGCTCTTCTCTGGATTATCAAAAATGATTTACAGCTAGTCTCACTGCCTTGAGTTTCACTCCTTCTTCCCCTTCTCCATGAAGTCCATGCAGCTCATTCTAAAACATGTATCTCATCATTCCTCCATCCCGGTTAAAGTCACTCAGTTGTTCCTCCAAAATTCAAAGATAAAATTCAAATTCTTTACTGTGGTTTGCAAGGCCTGTGAAGTCTAGTCCTTTTCTACTGTCTACTTTTTCCCATGTCTCACCCACTCCAACCCTCCCATGTCTTGTTATTTTCTGCACATACACATAGTGCTGTAGCCTTACCCACTCACTTATTCCCTCTAAGCAACACTCTTATTTCTCCATACATTTGCAAGTACCATCCCCTCTTCCTAGAAGGTACTCTCCAGGTTTGAACAGCTGCTGAACTCCTATCCATCCTTTAAGATTTGTTCCAAGTATAACCTCAAAAAGCATCAAATCAGCATCTTCATGATGACACTTACTTGCTGTATTTTAATTGTCTTTTCACTTATCTGTTTCCCATAATAAACTGTGAGCTCCTTGAGGCATGAACTATGTTTTACTCATCTTTGAATCACCAGAATCTTGAAATCTTGAACAGTCTCTGAGATAGAGAAAGGCCTCAATGTTCATTGAATAGATGGATGATGGGTGCGCTAAGCAATTAATTTTTGGTAAGCTCAAGGTAGCAAGCAAAAGCAAACTCAAATATAAATAGCTCTCCTATCAAAATACACTTGGTTCATGTTTCAGAAGGACAGCTTTTACATCTCATTTAGTTAGGTGCTCAACATATCTACCTAGGTACCCACTTCATTGCCTATCCAACTCAAATGATTTAAAAAAATATATGTAGGGGTGTGTGTGTGTGTGTATATGTATATGTATACACACATACACATATACATTATATATATACACACACACACACATACACTATCTCATATCCTTCTTACTTTTCCAGTTTTTTGTTCTTATTTTCTCAGAGACTCCAGAATATAAAAAAGTGAGCGAGGCACTATGCAGATAGAGTAAAGGAAAAAAGACTATGTCTTAATTCCTATTACTCCTTACATTTTATTGAATGATTTATTTGTATCGTATGAATAGTCAACTGAGAACAATTTGAAAGCAAACTCAAAATAAAATAATGCTTAAGGTTAATGTTTCAGCTAAAATTATTTTTTTAAAAAAGAAATATTCTAATAAGGTGTGAACCTAATTCCTTAAGGTCCTGCCTTGAATAAACATTAAAACATAAACATAAAGCAGAAGTGGAGAGGAGTTGCAAGATGTGCAATGTAAACAGTGGCATATATTGGTTAGAATTATGTACAAGTAGAAGAGACTGATATTTTGAGGAATAATGAATGTTTCGCTGTTCAAGACTTAGTAGCACTTGTAATTTACATGAAGTAGCATTCATCCCCCATGTTTATGTCCTTAGCATGTCACAGAGGAGCGGCTTATGCTCTTCTATGGAAGAGACACACAGTCTCTTGCACTGGGAGATAAAGATGAAATTTCATAAAAATCATTTCTTCTAAATACTATTTTAAAAACTTTGCAAATGAGGACAACTGTGCTTCTGTGGAATCCCAGAAGGACTCTGGGAGAAACTATACAGTCCAGGATAGGTCCCCTGCACAGCTCAGGGGCTCATTCTTTCTTAGCAGCTCTTTAGCTAGCTCAGAGTCCCAATTTTTGGCCCAAAGCCAACAACCACAGCTAGTTATTTGATACAGGTAAATTAAGGACCAGTCACTCATTAATGCCAAGTATTTCTGTAATTAGATTAGAAAAAAAATAAAAATAAAAACTTGT